GAAGTAATAAAATATGCTAATGTGCTAATTAATAACAAACAGAAACATTTAAAGAGCAAACCAGGTAGTTCATTCAGGCTGTGGAGCTCTATACGTCTCAGGATTTTGTTGTATTTGGTGGAGTTGTTTTTGACAAAATCATTTTTAGCAGAAACCAGCATTTTATCACCTAATAGTTCAGATTCAGTACAGACATTTATAAACTGGGTTTGTGTTAGTAACTAACTAAATTTTATTGGTTTTGAAGGTTTCCATTTATCCAGAAGCTTTAAAAATGTTTTGGGCTCCAGCTCCACCAAAATTCTCTGCTCCAATTTCTTCATTAAAGGAAATTTTATTTCCTACATATGAGGTAAATGTTTTAAATGTATTTTTAGTGTTCTTATCTTTTGCAGAAATATACACCTTTGTCTAACATTATATTTATTAATTGTAATAGTTATATTTTATGCTGCTATCTTATTAACACTTCTGTATATTGTAAGCATGGTATATAAGTCATTGTACAATTTGTAATAATATATGTTGAATAGTATTGTTTAATTTTCTACAATAATAAAGTTTCTGGTAGTAATTATTCTTAGTTACCACTTGCTGTTATATTATCTTGCTTAATGTCTTTACATTTATGTTGAAAGCTACTTTTGTGTAGTTTTTCTTCTATGCTATGCTGGCAGCGATTTCTATTAAAATGTAAGAAAATGTTTCTTATATTCAACAAAGTCTGTTTTAGAAAATGACAATCCTTTTGAGTTTTGAAATGTTTTCAATGTAAAATCTCCACTATGATTACATTATTGCAAGAGAGGAGCCATTCATGCAAAAGGACGTGCCTGTTGTATGCCTGTATTTGTAGCACTCCGCACCTTCATATGGCAAAGGTTTACAAAGAAACTAGGATTTGTGACCAGTTCACACTCCTGTGCAAGAGGTAAAGCACTCTTATGCGTGGATTAATTGATAGCAGGAATAAACCTGACATAATTCCCTATCTCCTAGTCTTACTATGACCAAATTGAGACCTGTGTTCTTGTTACTCTATGGACTACTGTGACCTGACCTAAATTACCAAAGCTAAAGGTAAGAACTTTAGAGAATCAGGTAGCAATAATCAGTTTCCTCAGGTCTCTGCCCTTTTTGCGCCATGTGATTTTTAATCACATTAAAGAATGTGCTCCATCAGAAGCCTAAGATAAACGGCATCTGTGATGTTGGTCTTGATCATCATAAATCTTTAGCTCAAGTATGTTATAGGCTTTATTTATCAGTTACTATGTTTTCTATAGCTGACTAAAATAAGTGTTGCACATTAAAGTATGCAAATATATTAATATTTCAGAGCAATGTTATTGAGGATGTTGTATTTGAAGACTTTTTCACTGATCATGAAGAAGATTTAGAAGCTGAGCAAGATGATCATGATTTCTGTGGTTATGGAATGGTGTGTATGATGGTACAATTTTTTTAATGTAACACTAAAAATTAAGATAGCAAAACAAGTTTGAAGATCTAGTCATAAGAAAATACTTCTTTACTAGAGAATCTGAGGTACAACTGAGTGTTCTAGTAGCTAAAACAGCTGAAACTTTGCAACTGACCAGGGATATTGCTGAGACCTCAGCTGGAATTGAGGACAACTAATGCATGAGTGGATGTATTTGGAGCCAGAAATGGGCAAACTGAGGTTAGCATATTATTACTGCAACTGAGCTCTCAGGTATAATTTAGTGCTTGAAAGCACTGTTTGATATGAAAATTTAGGGCTCCATCTGCAAGTTTGGACTATTAGAGCAGTTAAGATATGTTGGGTAATGTGTTTCCTATTTGAAGGTGAAACATGCTGGACAAGACATGCTTGCTTTTGTTCTTGGAAGAAGCTTTTTTAATAGTGACTGAGTATCTGAGGATATGTCATTACAGAGAATATGACTTGTAGATGACATTGAAGTGGAACAAAAAGATAAATTCAATTATGGTAAAGGAACACTTGCTGGTTTGAACATCTCTTGCAGGAGCTGGCTAGAAATAATGACGAGAACCATATTCAGTATGTCAAAAAGGAAGAATTTTGTGATCGGCTTTGCACATCTTCTGTGTCCTCTGGCAACAGCAACTTAAAATAGTTATTTTGTGTTTGGCTAAAAACTATTTGGAATTTTGTATCATGTTTGACTGCAGGCACAACGAGGTTATGGCTATATATGTAACTACAAACTGATTTGTAATTGTCCAGCAGAGCTGAAAAGTGCTGGTAGTCCTTGGCCTACAGGTTGACTGGGCCATTAGATGTGATAATGGGAAGTAATAAAGTCTACAGTTACTAAAATATTGTATTTTATTGCACATTTACTTGTGGACTTATTGGAAGTGTCTCTTTTACTGAAAAAAACCCTCCTGTTACTATGCTACAAGTAGGTCTGTTAACAACTATTAAAAACAGATAAAGCACATACAGATTCTCAGGTAGAAGTAATATTCTCATAGGAAATTATGGTTGTAGTGATGTTATGTGGCCATTTTTTTGGTCCGGGATTCCCAATATAGAAATATGTGTGTGGCTAATGTCATTTAATGCGGAGCAAATATGACACTTTTAAGAAGTGTCTGGCTTAAAACATGTTAATTGGAAAGACATTTCCATGCATGCAGTAAATTCACTAGGTGATCAACAGTACGGCATATTCACAATGTGTTCTGAGATTGGAGCGTCTACAGTACATATATACAATATGTCCACTGACTACACTTGCTCTTTAGCATTAATCTATACGAGTGCATTGAATGTGTCTTGGATTTTTGGACATCTGGCAGTGGAATGAGCTTAAGACATCCAGAAATCCAGACAAATGCAGTCCTTCACTCTGGCAAAAGTTGGTTTGGTTTTTTTTTGGTGAAAATACAGATTTCTTTGGATACTAGCTCTATTTTTAGCAGTGTCTGCTTTTAAAAGCAGAATGTATTTGAAAGCTCTATTCATATTAGGCTCAGACTAATTCAGACTTATTTTGCTTTTTTTTTTTTAAATCTATAGACAAAAAGTTTACTCAGAAGATGCCAATCCTTGCCTGATTTTTCTGACAGTGAGAGCTCAGAGGTATTATTTTATATTTACTTGTATTTGTTCCCGAACTGTGATTTTGTGGAAGAAATTCTTCCACTGAACTGAACTTAATATTTTCCTATTGGATGCAAAAGTGAAAGTCTCAAAGGTTCTTTTTCAAGTGGATTGGTTTTATTAAATAGGAGAACATAGCTCTGCAATGGAAACCCTTGTTAACTTTACAGGCATTTGGGTAGAGATAAGTGTGAGTAATCTGTGCTCTAGCTCACCTGAAATGAGTGGAACAACATATCAGAGTAAAGATTTAGAGTGTCAGTCCTTGGATTTCAGAGATTTCAGGGCATCAGTGTTGTCAAATTTCCAATCTGTAAAGTGCTATATACTTTTAATGGCTATTGAAGTTTAGTTGTTTCACAAAATACATAAAGCAGCAATAAACAGTGCAAATTTTACACTTGTTCAAAGATCACCTTGATAGCATTATACAAGTAATATTTTATTGACAAATTTGATTTTCAGTAAGAATTTCAGGAGTATATATTTATTTAAAATTTCGATATAGTCTGTAAAGACCTGCTTAAAATGTTGTGACCATGTTATTTTAGGTGGACATGAAGCATGGCAGCAGTTTGTATGCAATGATAACTAAAATAATATAAACACCAGATTTGCAATTAGAACTAGAGCATTGATGCTTGATTTTTAAAATATTAGTTTCATGTTCAAATAGAAGTAGTCTTGTTGAATTCAGATAGCTATCCTTTAACAAAATTATGCATAGTTCAGTAAAAGAATTTATCAAGTAACAATTCAATATTTCTGCAATTTGCAGTCAAACTATTTGATTTGGTGATAAATGACAGCTAACAATAGATACGTGTAGTGATAAATGATAGCTTCACATTGAGTTTCAGCTTTTCAATAAATCAGTATTGAAGCTTAGATTTTTTTAAAAAAATATAATTTTCCTAAAGAAAAGCATCACACTTGTGACATTGAGATTTTTTTTATCTTTTCAAAGCTTCAGAGTTTAATGCATTACCACAAATAAAGATATTAACTTACTTGAGTGGTTTAAATTATTATTAAAATAAAGATTGTCTTTCTAATTTAAAGTTATTCAAAATTATTCAATGTTTCATTTATGTTTTTATTTATTTTATTCATTACTAACAAGTGTAATCCTCTTTAAATTTCAGGCAGTGGACACGAAATGGCATTCTAATTTCTTTGTCAAAGATGTGTTATGCTTACTATTATAGTGCAATTTAGTGAACTGGAATTAACAAAAAGACTGAGAAGCAATACATTTGTTATTGCAAATAGTACTTGCTTAATAATTAATAACAATTAAACACCAGAAGATAACAGTTATTCTTTTGATTTTGTCAGGTGATTCAGGGATGGGGACTTGAAGTATGAGGGTGCATTATTCCATTCAGATATTAACTGTGTTTTCATATAATACACTAGTACAATCTTCCTGTCTTGTCTTCCAAGTTCATGAATATATCTCAGTTCATCTTTTTGTAAATGCCACCGCCAGTGGCATACATTTTTGATTTTAAAATTTAACTTTCCTACAAGGATTGCGGATATTTAATTCAAATTTCTTGTGATGCTTTTTAGAAAAAAATTATTTTAGCCCTTTAGGAGCTTCACGTAGCTTTGAATTAATGTTTCAGATCTCTTTGCTTTGACACACATCCTGAGGTATGCACATCTTTTTCCCATTAAATACTATAATTTTTTTTCAGCTGTGTGGTCCCCATGTTGCTCTCTTTCTTTTTCTTTACAATTTTACATAAAATATAATCCAGTCCATTAAAACTAAGGAAATGTGATATATAAAACTTATTTCAAATGAATATCTAAATAAATTAAGTTTCCTTTTTTTTAACAGACAAGTTTGATTAAAAGATCAGTCTCAGCTCTCGAGATGACAGCTTTCAAAGATGAAACTACGTTAAATATGTCAGCTAATTTCAAAACCAGCATGAAAGAGTTGAAGGTTATGAAGCAACGGATAGCTGAGACAGAGGTTGAGACAGAGATTGGGAAAAGCTCCCCTACCAAGCATCTACTGAATCAACTCTGTGATGATCCTCAGTCAATGCAGACAGACATACCAGTAGAAAAAATGCCTACTTTGACTGGACAAGAGGATAGTGAGAATGACATTGTTCTTGTGGAGCGACCTCAAAAGGCTGGGATTAAATGCACTGTTTTCCCAAGAAGAAGGAAAACAAAGAAATCAAAGAAAATAATAAGTCCTAGAATATTAGAAGCTGTGATTAAGAAATTAAGTCAACCTCCAAAGATTCTTAAAAGGTTTTCTTTAATTAATGTATATTGCCTTTTTAAAGAATATATTTTAATTTGTAGCTGTATTATCTAATTAGAGCTGTATTATCTAATTTATCTTTTTAATATTAGATATTGCTCTGAAATTAAGTAATAATAGTTCAGTTATTTAGGAATAATATATAGTTTTTAATGCAAAGAAAAAAATCCAAACTGCTCAGGCATCTTGAGGACATTTAGTACATACTGCACTTTAAATGGAAATGGTGTTGGTTCATGCAACAACAGAAAAAGTTTTATCTAACTATAAATGCATGATAAAATAGTCAAACTGCTTGCTTTTGAAAGACAAGTTCTTAGGAAACCGAAATGCTAGGCTGGACTAACCTCCTTTGTAGCATGAACTTTGTAGATTACATCAAACAAGTAGTAGCTTTTAACCTTTTGTTTTCATGTTTTTCTAGTGAATGTTTATTATTTACATACTTCAGATATGGGGTACCTTAGAAAATATTCAAGTATTAAAAAAAAAAGAAAAGAAAATAAATTCATGTTCTTGCTAGTTTTTTTTATATTTCTTAAATACTTATGCTCGAAGTGTGACCTGCAACCCCCCACCCAAATGTTGTCTATTTTTGTGTGCAGTCATATGTGTCCACATTGTACTTACACTGATGCTCAGGCGTGGTCCTTCAGACCAGTTTTCCATTCAGACTCTTCTTTTTTCTGCTTTTAAGCATCTTTCAGTAGGTTTATTCTTAAGAAAATCAAAGCTACTTAAATGGTGTGATATACTGGTAGAGAGACCTGTGACTAAGGGAGAAGGTGGCCTTTTTTCAAAGTCTTGTTTTAGACAGGGGTACTGTATGTTCTTTGCTGTCTAAGGCTTTCATATCACTTTTGCTAAACCAAGGGGATTTCATCTTTGTACTATTTTGCACGTCATTTATGCATGAGCCTGCTACATTTTTTATTTAATTTTCCTTTTTTTTCCTAGTAGGATCCTTATGTGTAAAATAAACATATGTATAAATATTAGGTCATAGTATTACAAATATATATATGTATAAAATATTTTCTCCCTTCTGGTATTCCCTTCTATGTTAGCAAGTCTGATATTGTTTGTGATAAAGATTAAGTGTTTCTGTTAAAGACTTTTGGGTTGGGTTTTTTTCACTTTGACGTCTCAAAGTAGATGTTGATATTGAACGTTTATGAAAGGTTCTCATCTTGGAAACTATGAATTTTGCCAGATTATAATTTTGGAAATGTCCTTGTAAATTCAAGTGCTTTTTTTCACCTCTGGGTGGTGCTGTTTCTGTTTGTTATTCTGGCCTCTTCCTAATGTCATTGGGATCTATCATTGATATATTCATCCATCTAGGATTTATCATCATTTAGCCAAGCTGGTAATTGTCTACTCTGAAATATTGTCCTTTCTTAGGTTTAGCATTGTCCTTGTAAACCTGTTAGATTTGGAGGAAATAAGCATGCAACTGCGAGTAAGTGCTGAACGTTTTGGGGACATGAATCATTCAGAACAATTGTGCTTACCTGTGGCTTCAATAATGTTTTTTGATTGAAGACTGATAAGTTAAAAAATCATGATTAACAAGAGAACTAACAGTAGGTTTTTGAATAGTTGACTGGCATATTGCAATTTGATATCATTAATATATCTGGGAACCTTTAGTTATTTTTAATATATTTTTCCTTAGGTCTGTGTCTCTGGGAAGACTTTGTATTCATGATAAATTCAGTATCAAGGTGTCTGCAGCAATCAAACAATATCAGAGCCACAGCATCCCTTGCTTGTTAGATTTTGAAAAGTTTGCAGAAATGAGGGGTGGAATTCCAAAAGAAACTTCTGCTCGCATGTGGGTCAGTGGAATATGGACCTGCTGGTTTGATGAAACTTTCCCTCCTAGTGGGACTGCTTCTGAGGAGAAGGATACTGAATTACTGAAAGGAACTGAGACAGTGGACTCTAAAGAAGCAAATCTACAAATAGAACTAGTTGACTCAATACAACCTGTTCTTCTTGAAGGTGCAACAGTTAGTATTGAAGATTTAGAAGAAGAAGTAAGAAGGTTGACTGAGCTAATAGAAAAGGAAG